CAATGGAAGCTAAAAAGATTTTCCAGAGCTGTGTAGTACTAGGGTTAAAAAAGATAAAAATAAAAAGTGTCTGAGTCCCCCCAAAAGGCAGTGCTAAGTAAGTAACAACAGCTTTGAATCAAGAGGCTGTGAAGCCTCACTCAAGGATAAGGACAAGTAAGATAGTTCAGCCCTTAGAACGACAAACAGCATTCATCTAAGAGATCAAGATGACCCACTGCCACTATCAGACTAGTGAAAGAAAATCCAATACTGAACGTGATGTCTGTACTGTTCGCCTTCCTTCCAAACACACAAGGCTTGCTAAAAACAGAACAAACTCATCAGAAAACAGAACACTGAAAGTCCAAACAGGCAACAAAGGGTTTCATATACTAAAATTATTACACAAGAATTTAAAAAGAGCCACGATTAATATATTTATATACATAGAGGAAAGGATGGAAATTTTGTAGAAAAACAGAAATCCATAAAAGTACCAAATTGAAATTCTGCAACAGGAAAAAAAAAATCAAAATTGGGTATTCAGTAGAAAAGTTCAATAATATATGGTATACATTGGAATAGAAAGTTGAATGAACTGAAAACACTAATAAAAAATGCCCAGATTGAGGCCTATATAAAAGGAGAAAGGTAGAAAGTATAGCACAAATTATCAGTGAAACATCAGATCCAGAGAAAAGGTCTAAATGCATATAATCAGAATGCTAGAAAGAAGGGAGAAAGAATAATACAATCATTTTTAGAAAAATATTGGCCTCTGCCAGACGCACACCTATAACCCAGCTAGCTACTCAGAAGCTGAGGTAGGACAACTGCAATTGAAGGGCAGACTCAGCAATCTGACAAAACCCTGTCTTCAAGTAAAAGATAAAAAGGGCTGGGGATGTAACTCAGTGGTAGAGCATCATTGGGGTTCTATCACCAGTACTGCACTTGTGTGCGCCAGGAATTTTTCTGAAATTGATGAAAAATGCTTAATTTTACGTACTAAAGATTCAAAACCTACATACACTAAGTATGATAAATATGAATAAAATTATATTTAATGACATCATACTAACACTATTAGAAATCAAAGCAAAAAGAGCATTTAAAGAGTACTGGAGGCCAGCTCAGTGGAAGAGTGTTTGCCTGGCATGTACAAAGCCCTGGGTTTAACCCCCAGCCCAGTGAGGGAAGCAAATTACCTGGGATGAGGCAAGGGTACACATTATATCTTCAGTAAGAAGAAAAGCCAAGCCAGTTGACTACAATAGAAAAATGTTGAAACAAGGCAATGAACTGCACATATAAGATAAATACTATTAGCCTAGAATTATGTAGCCAGGAAAAATATATTTCAGGAAAATAAAAGGCAAAATAGATATTATCAGAAATTCAAAAGATGAGAATTTTTTGCAGGTAAACCTACACTATGAAAGACACTAAAAGTACTCAAGGAAAGTAATCATAAAGGAACACAAACTTCAGGAAACAGTGAAAAAAGGATAAATTTTTGGCTAAACTCAAATGCAGAATCACTATTAAAATAAATATGTAATGTCTGGCATTTAGGATAAATCTGTAAGTGAAATATTATGGGAGATAAACAAAAGGTTGAAGGGGAGTAATGTAATTAAATGGTTATAAGTGTTTTGCATGTTCAGGACATAGTAAATCACAACCACCAACAGTAATAGAAGAATGTAAAATTAAAATTGTAAAGGAATTTTAAATGTAACAAAATATAATAATGTGACTCCATAAAAAGGAAGCCCGCAAAAAAAAAGGGTAAGCAATGAGATCAACATTATTAATAGCAAGATGATATATTTGCATGAGATAAATCAATATTTAAGGTAAATGTATTCAACTCTCCAACTAAAATAGAGGATTTTCATTTCACAATGCATGCATCCATGTAAACATGTTTTACACCTTGAAATTTTACAGTATTTGTCAATTATACCTCACAAAAGTTGGAAAAAAATTCCATGCAAACTACAAAATTATATTTAAGTATACTTTGTCAGACTGGATAAAATATAGCTGTGCTTTGTATTTTTTTTATTTAACAAAGAAATATCTTAAATAAATGGAAATATAGTTTGAAAGGAAAGGAGGAAAACAGATCTTACATGTAAATATTAACTAAAAGAAATTTTATAGCTCTATTAATATAAGACATTGGAGATCTCAAGTAAAACTACAAGATATAAAGATATATTTAAAAAAATAAGTCTATAGAAAGATATTTATGAATTTATAATTTTATATTTAACAATAAATTTCAATTATAAACAGCAAAAGTTTGTAGAACTAAAGATATAATTTACAATCCATAATCATGAGGCATTTTTAATCTTTCTTTCAGTAACTAATAGGAAAAGGCCAACAAAAAATTCAATTAAGGATATAGAAGTTTAGAATGACATAGTTAATGAATTTTACCTATTTTGGTTTATAGAATTTTACAATAACTACAGCATACTCTATTTTATATGTATGATATAGATATATACCTACACACATATATATTACACCATTTTTTAGATTTGAAATGAGTACTCTATGTTTTAAATGTTCCCAAAGGGTTAAGAAATAACAGTTTTCAGTCAGTCTTCTCAAGGCTTTAGTATCCCAAGATCTAGTCTCTATCAACTAATTTTATTTACAAATATACCCCAACATGAAGTCCTAAGTAATTGAATCATCTCTATTATCCTCATCCTGGTGGTAGGTTTTAGCTGCACCACAGAGAAAGTTACCATGAATCATTAACATTCTGAAGTTAAAAAGAGGGGGAGGGGACAATAAGTGAATAACTTATTTATTCACAAATTATACCCACCTCAGATAATTTATTTAACTACATGATAGGCAACATTTAATATAATGTCGCAGAAAAGGCTGGGCACTGTTGTGCATGCCTGTAATCCCAGCTGCTCTGTAGGCTGAGGCAGGAGGTTTCAAGTTCAAAGCCAGCCTCAGCAATGGTGAGGAGCTAAGCAACTCCACAAGACCCTCTCTCTCTCAATAAAATATGAAATAGAGCTGGGGAGGTGGTTCAGTGGTAGAGTGCCCCTGAGTTCAAACCCTGGTACCAAAAAAAAATAAAAAGAGCAGAAAAAAATAATCAGAAATAGTAAGAGCCTAAGTATAAATTTATAATGAAACAAAGAATAAGTTATTTCCTTTTTTCCCCCTCAAGAAAATAGTTGTTTGCCATGTAACTTTACCTTTGATAGTTTAGTACCATAATACTTCTGAAATAGCAAAAGAATGTTGATACTTTATGCTTAGAGAAAAATTGACATATAGAATTATACAAATAGAATGAAGAAAATAAAAATACAAGCCATGAAGAGGTGGTGAACAGCTGGAGGTTATAATTTTTGAAATTAAAAAAAGAGAAAAGAAAACCCGATTCTGGTGAGGAATCAGAGCAGTGAGAATTCATCTACATGAAGGTCTCTTGAGGGACTAGGCATTACAAAGAAATAAGGAAATTTTGAATCTGAAGCTTATTGAGCTTTTCCTAAGAAAGATCATCATTAGTCAATTAGTTTTTAGTATGACCTTTTCTATCTTTGCTTATATTTTTTAAAATATCATCATAGATTATACTTTGTTGAGGGACAGATGATGCATTTGCAATTATTCAGTAAATATCTTCCCTGTTCTAGGATTGTGCTAAACATTGGAGATAAAATGGTGAATCAGAGAGACTTTGCCATTAAAATAAAAAAAATGAAAGTAAAATATGGAAGTGGAATGAATGCGTTTCCAAGTTTGACAGGCAAGTGACCTGTTTTAGGTAGATGGTCATAAGTATCATCCCTTCCATGAAGGGCTTTAAGTGAAATGAGTAGAAAGTTCCTGAACAGACACTTCTCAGAAGATATACAATCAACAAACATGAAAAAAATGTTCACCATTTCTAGTAATTAGAGAAATGCAAATCAAAACTACTCTAAGATTTCATCTCACGCCAGTAAGAATGGCAGTTATTATGAATATAAACAACAATAAGTGTTGGTGAGCATGTGGGGAAAAAGGCATACTCATACATTACTGGTAAGACTGCAAACTGGTGCAACCACGCTGGAGAGGAGTATGAAGATACCTTAGAAAACTTGGAATGGAACCACTATTTGACCCAGCTATCCCTCTCCTCAGACTATACCCAAAGGACTTAAAAACATCATACTATAGTGACACAACCACGTCAGTATTTATAGCAGCACAATTCAAAGTAGCCAAACTGTGGAACCAACCTAGATGACCTTCAATAGATGAGTGGATAAAGAAACTGATTTTATATATATATATATATATATATATATGTATATATACATATATATATATACATATACATATACACACACAATTGAATATTATTCAGCATTAAGAGAGAATAAAATTATGACATTTGCAGGTAAATGGATGAGTTAGAGACTATCATGCTACTGGAAGTAAGTCAATCCCAGAAAACCAAAGGCCGAATGTTTTCTGATAAGCAGATGCTAATCCATAATGGGAGGTGGGGGCATGGGATAAATGGAGGAACTTTGGATTGGGCAAAGGGGAGGGGAGGGGAGAGGAAGGGAGGGAATAGGGGTAGGAAAGATAGTAGAATGAGATGAACATTATTATCCCAGGTACATGTATGATTCCTCTAATAATGTAACCCTACTCTGTGTGTAACTAGAGAAGTGAAAAATTGTGCCCCACTTGTGTACAATGAATTAAAAAGCATTCTGCTGTCATGTATAACTGATTATAACAACAACAACAACAAAAGAGTACAAAGTTCCAAGAAATCAGACCTCAAGTCAGGAAAGAAATGAAAGCTCAAGGACCTGAAAGGAAGTGGGGCAAGATGAACTTGGAAAAGGTGAAGTTCATCATTAATGCCAGGCTGTTTTTTGTTTTTTTTTCAATTTGATTGTAAGAACAATGAGTGGCAAATGAAGTATTTCCAACAGAGAATGGATATGATCTTATTTATATTAAAGGTTGAATGAAGAATGAATTTATAAGAGATGAAGTGGGAAGACCAGTGGCCTTAAGGTAAGAGATGATGCTTTCCCAGTCTGGAATGCACCATTGCCATGAAAGATCAAGTAGTCAGATTCAAAATGTAGATAATTGTAAGTCCACCTTACTGACTGTGTATAGCAAGGAAGGAAAGAGCAAGAGTGATCCCCTAAATTTCAACTAGATATCTGGGTAAACTGCTATCATTTATGGGATCGAGAAGCTGGAGATAAAGGAAACAACAGGAAAGGAACTACATTGTGAAATAAATTTACTCTATCTGCATATTATTATATATTTGAGTACAGTTTTCTTCATTCCTCAAGGGGGAAATTGTTTCTCTTGAATTCTAAGGTTTTTTGTTATGAAGATGAGAATTCCTAAAAGATGAAGTTTTTGCCAGATATGATTCTCTTCTATGGTATTCCCATATTGTTGGGTATTTAAAATGTTTCTTGTCCCTAAAATTTTAAGAATTCATTTTACATTTTTTCTTCTATATGAGAGCTCTGAAATAAATTTTAGGAAAAAAATAGTCAAAAATAATAGGCAAATTCTTCCTAAAATCTTTTATTTTCAAGAATTGATCAGCTGGAAGTAGGGGAGTAAAATACTAACTCAAAAAAATCATTAATATGCAAGTTGATCTTATATAAAAAAAACTCCCACCATTTTTCTGGGTCAACTAAAGTCATGTGTATATTTTAAATAGTGATTTACTTCATAGTTTGAGCTTTTTTTTAATACCCATTGACAAATTTCCAAGTGTTTAATTTTCAAGAATTCAAGTAGCTATTATTTGAATCCCTTACTATAATTGATTCATATAAATAAGATAGGTTAAAGCTTTTATTGAATGATATCTACCAGAAGAACATTGATCTATGGTTTGTTGTATAATGGTTCACTTAGTTCCCACAATTCTACAAAGCAGGTGATACTAATCACAATTTACAATCCAAGATATGGGAAAACAACTCTTATGTTACTCACCCATGATTATATTACATGTCTGATAAACATCTCCCAAGATCACCAAGCATACTCTGAGGATACCTAAGATTCTGACCATTATACATTTAGGATGCTAAATATAATTTTAACATTAGCCTAACCAAAAGATAGGATGAATCTGCTGTATAAATAGTTATTATAAGTCACGTGCAGCTAAGTTGAATTATCTTTCTGTGCCATTTTTAGATTGGAAAGCATTCTCCAATAACTGCAAGTCTCTCATTCATTTATTCAATTTTCTGAGCACTTAGTATGTGCTTAGCACTACACTAGACATTTCACATACAGTAAATAAGATCCTACCCTCAGGGGGTTTATTCTAGGGAGAAAGATAAATAATAAACAATACATAAACAGAAAATGAAAATAAAACTAACAAGAAACAAAGGAATCAGTACTGCTAGGGAGAAGTGTAAACTTTGGATAGTGGGTTGCTGTTTAAATCCAGTAGTCAAGGTATTTTCAGTTAGAGGCTCAAGAACTATTGTCACCAAAAATTTTCCTAACAGTTTTACATAATAATAATCTATATATCCTGAGTGCCGTTTTTAAAAAATTGGCTCATTAAATACATTCATATATGGTGACATACAATAAGACAGTAATTTCTATCTAAAAAAGAAAGGTTTCAGTGAGACTAATGAATTTGGTGTTTTCTTTTTAAAGCAATTATTCATCAGTTAAGTAAGAAGTTGTATCATTGTAAAGACTTTTTTTAATTACTATTTTTATGTGGTGATGAGGATGGAACCCAGGGCCTTGCACATGTGAGGTGAACACTCTACCGCTAAGACATAACCCCCAGCCCTGTAAAGACTTTTATAGTTAAAAAAAAAAAGTCTTTGGAGTTGGTAAAATAATTTAACTTAATTCTTAGACCTGAACTTTATTCATTTGGGAGAATGGGATTATTTTTACTAGTTCAAGGAAAAGTATGCCAATATTATGTGTATGTACAACAAAATTTCAGACCACTAGTATGCTCATGTATGTACATCTATAGGATACAAATAAAGAGCATATACATAATTATAAATGTTCACTAAAACCTAAGATTCTCCCGATTATTTAAAAAACATGGATATCTTTACTGTAAGGAAATTTGCCAAACAGGCATAGATTATGTCTAACGTTAATCTATCAAAAAAAAAATCTCTTTAATCCTGCTGTTTCTCCAGCATGATTTGCCAGGTGCCCAAACAAAAATCCTATCTTTCTTTCTGTATCTTGCTCTCCAGTCATTTATCAGCAAGTCTTACTCTTACTTCCAAATCAAATGTAAAATCCAATCAGGTCTTCCCATCCCACCACTAGAACTGGACAGGTCACCTTGACATTCCCATTACCTTGACCACTGTATCCTTCTTCCCATCTGTCTTCCAGCTTCCACTCCTAACATCTTGTCCCACAAATGATCATACAATCCATTCTCCACTCAGTAGCCAAAATGAGCTTTCTTAGCATGTTAGAGACTAAATTCCTCCAAAGCTAAAACCATGACACTCAGTGAATACAGAGTACATTAAAGATATTCAACCCATCAATAGAAGATTGCAAAGCTAGTTCAAAGGACAATTAGATAAATGGAGCACTTAGGAAAGGCATACTAAAAGATTTTGCTAAGAGATAAAACTGGTTAATATCTTACAGGCATGAAAACTGTAATCTTTGGGGTTATCTTTTCTATTCTTTTTGCCAATCAGAAGTTTTTGCATTTCATTATTTATTTGGGGGGTACCAAGGATTGAATCCAGGCATGTGTAACCACTAAGCCATATCCCTAGCCCTTTTTTATATTTTATTAGAGACAGGGGTCTGAGTTGCTTAGGGGCTCTCAAAGTTGCTGAGGCTGGCTTTGAACTCACAATCCTCCTGCTGGAGCCGCAGGAGCCACTGGGATTACAGTTGTGCACCACCACACCCAGCTTAGAAATTTTTGCATTTCTAAAGAACAAAAATGTGTAAGTTAATATGCAATTTCACACTCTGGGCCTTACTTAAAATGAAGCAAAGGGTTGGGATGGAGCTAGAATGCAGCTCAGTGGTATAGCACATATTTTGCATGGACAAGGCCTTGGGTTCAAGCCCCATCACTACAAAATAAAACAAACTGAGTGTAAAACTATGGCACATTTCCCTAGAAAATAATCCTTGGAAGGGCAAATTAGACAAATTTTCCTCAACAAGCATAAATAAGGCTCTGTTCTTCGGTTTTCAAACTTTTTCTTAGAATACAAATTTCCTATCATGGACTACAGAGTCTGCCCAATCTTATCCTTAACTTTCTCTTTTGTCTCCTTCTCCTCAATCATTATGATAATACCAGTAACTCTTGCTGTTCTTCCAGCAGCATCCTTCAGAGCTGTCACTCTTATGTTGCACTCTGCTTATGGATTTTACACAACTGCTATGTGTTGTACTGGCACATCATCCTTGCCTCTACTTGGATGCACACATAAACTTGCCTCTACTTGGATGCACACATCAACACATTCCTGCTACATCTCACCATCCCACTTTTTATTTTACTTCATAGAATTTACCATGTTAGGACATAGTGTTTATTGTTTATTTCCTTTAATATTAAGGGATTTTTGTCTATTTTATTTTCAAGAAATATCTGGTGCTTTAACAGTGCATGGTATATAACAAGCACAGATTTTTTAAAAATTAATGATTAAGGTACACATAAACACTAACATTATCTCAAAATTAAAATGTAATTTTTCAAAATACTTCTATTTCATGAGAGAGAAAAAAAGTGAAAAATGATTTACAAAAGCAATCGTAAAGTAGGTGTCAGACATGGGGCTCAGAACATGCAAAGACCTTCTTTTGGAGTGGCCCCTTGATTCAGCACCTGGAGACTGGACAGATCCACCATGAAATGGTAGAAAATTGAGACAGTTCTCAGGCTGGTAATATAATCATATCCAGACAGGTGCACTTTTATTGTCAGAAAGAACTGTCTGGTGATAGGTGGTTATCATTAGCAGGGGAGGGGCATAGATTAAGGGTAATTTGATGGCAGACCACTCTCAGGAAAGTATGCTCTGTGTGAGGCTCTGTGCCAAGTACTTTCCCAAGGTTATCTCATTTAACTCATCAAAATCCTTCAAGGTGAGTGATATAATACCCGTTTTCAAAAAAGACCACCAAGGCTCCAGGAGGGGAAAATTGTACATAACTAGTAAATGGCAGAGCCTACCTTAAGGCATGGATCAGTTTGAAGCTCATGCATTTCATACTGATCTTTGCTGCTCCCCACCTATCCCCCACTTCAAACACAGTAAGAAATAATTGCACAAGTAGGCAAGCTTTAACATCAGACAGTCTATCAGAAAACTGAAGAAATACAGACGTCTGGGCTAGGGGTCAAAAGAACTCAATTTAACTGGGTGATTGAAGGAAAAAAAAAAAAAAAGGACAAGATCCCAGCCAAAGTCATCATCACCAGGAAAAATGGTCAACTTACAAAATGTCAGGACCCTGAATTCTGGGAAAACAAGGCCTCATCACAATGAACTACAAAACAGTTCACTAACAAAAATCATTGTATAATGTTAGGGAAGAATTTCCTTGAGGCTAAAATTCAACTATATTTGTAATTCCCCAAAATCCATCACACCTACAACCAAGAATTATCCCTGCAACTTCTTAGAGTATGACCCCATAATCTCAGAATAAACGATACCTGGGAGAGAGATTGCCATCTGTCCCAGAAATGCAATTCATTATAACAAGTATTTATTGAGCACCTACTCTTTACAGAATACTGTTCTGGACCTGTAAGTAACAAAAAGTAAAAGCTTTATCCTCCACCTCCTTTCAACCCAGTTAGCTGAACTTGAAGAAAATGTCATTTAATAACTGCATTGCCTAATTTCAAGTCATTGCACTAGAAATGAATAATAGCCATTTCACTACAACTCCACTGTTTCATGTAGGTAATTCTCTATTAAGTTCATAGATCACTTCCACACTATGCATTCCAGAGTTTTTCATTCATAGTTGTAAAA